GTTTGCTGCCCTGGACCAGCCGTAGGAGACAGGACTCAGTGTGTTGTGGCACCGGAACGCGTCTCCCGGTCCAGCGACTGCGTTTGTTGCATGCAGCGGTTTTGTGGCTTGTTTACTGAGCGGCGCGTGCCATCAGCAATCGATAAACAAAGTGGAGTTGTGACGCGTGCGATGGCCGTGCAATAATTGTGAACGTGAATTTGTTGTGTTCCGTCTGTCGGTCAGCGGACTGCGGAGTGAAATTAGAAGTGATAATTGGTTCATTGATAACGGATGCTGTGAAAAAGAAGATGGTGGAGAAATTCCTTCGGGCGAGTTAAATGTTCCGCGCAGTGTGGAAGGTTAATTAATGTAAACTTGGGACGAAACTCGCTTAAGCAGTGTTCAGTGGCCTCGCTCTGAGCCCGCTCAGCCAACTCAACGCCTGAAGTGGACGCCGGTGTGTTCGGTCCCCCCATGACTATGAGCTGCCCTGAGGTAGTGTACCAGGCGTATTACCCGTACCTGTACCAGCGCCCTAGTACGTCGGCACCCACCGTCGCCAGGACAACCCCGTTCCCGCCTTTCTCGCATCAGTATGACCGGGTGAGTTGCCGGCGTGAAACCGGGTTCGAGGACTGAACTGCCTCCTGTTTGGCCGCGTTTCGCGTTCCTGTCTCTTACCTGAATCGTTCTGAGTTACCTCGGCAACAGAAGCCGCGCGCCAACTTCGTGCAAAGAACAAAGTGAAGTGTCTTGAAATAGGCCTCACGCGCTCTTAATGAGGGGCTTAGCAAATTAGTGCGCACGGCTTGACAAGTCGTCTCTTAATTGACAGTATTACAAATAAGTCTGACACGAATTAGAATTATAAGTTTCCTAAGTAGTTGGCTATCTTGTGCCTGCTGGCTCGCAGACTTCGGATATCTGTTGAAATTGCCGATTTGACGCGCGAAAGTGGACACACAGACCACTCGAAAGCCATGGGCTGTGGGCCTATTTTGCCAATAAAAACTTAAGTTGCAGCTACTAACTTTGAAGTGAAGGTCGCCTTATGCAGACAACGCGTTAGGCCGTGATGGTTATCAGAATTAGTCCATAAGACGGTAGCTGTACGCTGTGTCCAACCTAATTATCAAGTAGACCTGCTAGCCTAATTACGTATTTATCATTTACCACGAGACACGTAACGACACGCAGTGACCGAGCGGATGTCAGAGGACACAATCGCCTACATCCTTGGTTAGGTTCCGCTGTGTGTGGACTGCGGGTTGGCTTCTGGTAGCTTCGGTGCGATTTAGTGTCATTTAATACCCCAAATGCTTGAGACACGGGCGTAACGAACACCCTTAAACTGTCTGAGCAAATTCCTTATTTCACTGTTAATGTGCCTAGAAGAGGCCTGCAATCGCACACAGAATAAGGAGTCACTGCTCAAAAAGGACCCGTCGCCTCTGTAGTCACTCAACCGTTTTTGATTCAGGTCGTCCGACCAGAATTTCGTACGCGTTCTTCATGTCCCATCCGCCTGATCTCCTCGAAGCTGTCGCCCTAATAATAGCCCGTTTACTGAAGAGGACAAGTCTTCTACGCCTACAAGTTTTAGGCCTTAATTTCATAATTTTTTAGACTAGGCTGTAACTATGCTAATTGAAAAGTAGCAATTACTACAGACCAAGTCAGCCCTTAACTTAATAGCATTGGAGCAGAATTCGTCGGCTGAAGTCACTTAACTGCTCAAGACATTTTCCTCATTTTATAAAATCTAAGGGTCATAGAAATCCACCACTGGACTGTACGGCCTGAGCTAGGTGAATCCAGTTCATTTATATCTTCACACTCTGGTTATTTAAGATCTGTTTTAATATTATCCTTTCATTCGAAGGGGTCCCTTCCCGCTTCATGTTTGTTGATTTAAATTGTGTTCGCATCGCAAATTTGTTGAAGTGTGGTCTAAGAATTACGAAGCTCCTCATTGCGCAGTTTTCTCGTCCTGCCTGGGCCTGTGTGTTCTTTGGTGAGATTCAGAAACATTTCGCGTCCGTCCACAGACTGCAAAATACGAGCTTAGAGCAGCTTCTGGTTGGGAGGCGGAACTTCATTGGCCCAGACACTGATCCACAAGTGTCGTGTGTCCACCGAC